AAAAAAAAAAAAAAAAAAAAAAAAAAAAGAAACACGCATAATCCTAAAAAATCGGAGTTTTCATCAATTCATAGTAGGCATCATTGATTTATGATCGTTAGATATTGTTTGACTAATAATGGTCATCCTATCGTTGATTTAATTGGAGATGGACCGATTTACAACAATGATGTTGGGCCGATTTCAGTATAATTCTATTGGGCCGGTTCTGAAATGGTTACCGTACATTCTTGCTCATTAATTAGGCAATTGTATTATTACACAGATCAAAACAAATATTGGTAGGCCCATTAAATATCTTAAATATTAGAACTAAAAGTCATATGTTATGTTACTCAATTTATAAATTCTATTTTTATAATAGTTTAACATATATTTTTTAATAAAAATAAATTATAATAATATATCATATAAAATAGAGAAATGTGTTTATTTGTTTCAATTAAATCGTAAATAAAAAATATTTTTTTAATTTTTTTTTTTAAGAAAAGAAAGTGTCGAATCATTCTATAGTTATTAGTTGATCACATAGATAAATGTGTTTATCTGTTTCATAAATAAAACATATTTGTGACTAAATTCTCCACTCAGTTCTCAAATGCAAAATATTGACAGGAGATCACGCTGGCGAGAATATCTTAATTCCTAAAATGAATATCACTCCATCTGATACGAGAATTCCATTTAAGTTCCAGCAGCTACATTTCCCACTTATAATTTCATATGCCATGACCATAAACAAGAGTCAGAGGCAGTCTTTATCACACGTTAGTTTATTCAATAATATATGACGAGTTACCCAATAATGAAACTCATAAAGTTTTGTACAAGGAGATTTTTAATAATATATGATTGTTTCGTGACGAACATTTTATGGTTCAATAATGTTCCTAAGTATTATAATTATATCGATCCTAATGCATTTCAATTTATATTATTCTCCAAATTTTTACAGCCCGTGCATCGCACGGGGGTTACGCACTAGTTAATACAAATGCATTGTTGGTTCTGATTGAATAATCAATATATCTAATCACAGTTCTCCAATCATTTATGCATATAACAAAACTATACACTTCTGCAATCAGACTACACAAATCTAACAAGCTTAGTAGAGATAATTACACCTCAGACATGTCAATCAAAATGAAGGAAAAAATAAACATCAATTACGTTGAAAAGGAAATCAATAGTGAAAAAATCTCAAAAAACCCGAAATACGTTACATCAAACATCAGTTGCTTATACGATGTGTTTGTATACAAATAATCTCAATACGTATTCAAAATCTAACTCAGACCCAACCCTACTATCCTCAGTATTATCAATAAAATTAAATAATGTCAATCAATTATTCTTATACATCCCATCAATTTTAATTCATTATTCAACCACTCACATTATTTTAACTAACAATCACTTCATATATTTGGAAAAAAAAGGTTTGGAAGATCGAAGGTCGAGTAGTTTTTTCAAGCTTAACAAGTTGCTAATATCTCAGCCCTCACATGAGCTCTTCTTAGTTTGTTTTTCGAACACTTCAACTATTAAGTACCCTAGTTCGGTTATGTATTATCCCAGCGCTGATAAACCAAAAATTATCTCAAATGATATTCAAATTTTATTAACAGATTGTACTAATTTATCCCCAGACGATAACAAGTTGAGGGGCAAAGTCGAAAGAAAAGCCCACCACATACAAGTTACCAATAAAAGCTGGTTATTCAGAGCTAGCAGATCCCTCGAGCTTTCTACATGACCTCATCCATTGTTACAAATCGACCCTTCTCTATTGACAGTTGCGCAGCAACTCCTATTGCAACCGATATCAGTCCATCTTTCAAATTCACAGCTGGAGCTTGAGCACCATTTGCTCTAATTGCAAACAAGAATTGAAGATGTTCCAAATAGCTAGAACCATGATGCAGTCCATCGTATCTAGTAAGCCAACAAAAACTCATGAGAAAAATTTACAACCAACCTTGTAAATGAAGCAATGGCTAATAAAGAATGACTCACTTTATGCGAACATCCTCAGCTTTCAGTGTTTTAACGCCATCTCGACCTTCTACGCGCGTTCCCCAGCGAACAATGCTCTCTGGTACAAATGCCTCACCCTGTTGGGTTAATCACAGAAACCTCTCAGTTTAGTCACACAAGGAAGATGCACATAGCACGTGATATTGTTGTTGTTGTTTTTATTTTTTTTTTTTNNAAAAAAAAAAAAAAAAAAAAAAAAAAAAAAACTTAGAATTACTTTTATTGTTATATTTATATTTAATAGCATAATATAATGTTCTTTCCATTACTTTAACAGAAAAATTGTGTATTTTCTGATAAACAGTACTAAATGTATTGAATTATAAAGTATAATATTTAATACTATTAACGGAATTATGTGAGAAACAAGATTAAATAATAAAACAATGAGTTGAAACTCCAAATTAAAATTAATATATTTTTTTATTGAAATTATAAATGCTAAAGAAATTGGTTTTGTTATTTAATGATATCCTCATTACGCTAAAAATTGGTCATTATTATCGTCATCATAATAGTTTTGTAATGTCATCCTTTTGCGTCATACTTTTGAAAAATAACTCGAATTTTCTATACCTATCATTTGCAATGATCTGATTGGAAGCTAACCAACTATGTTTGAATGTTTCGTTCTCTATTATTTTGATCATAATGGTTGCAAATTCAATTATATTGCAAGTACAATATTTCATAATACTTACATATATATTTTCTCTCAGGATATATCATAAGCATATATCACAAAAGATAAATAAATATTTGAAAATCTCTTTAAAGTTCTAATTATTATACAAAAAAAAATCTTAAAAATATTAAGAACAATAACATCCTTGATTGACTAAAGGTACCCATACTGCCCAACATAAATTATTGTTTCTCCTAACATTGTCATTCATGCATTATCACTTTTGCTCCCGGATTTTGAAGACTATCCTAAATATGAGTAAAAAAAATAATAATGATTTCAATGAATTAAAATGATGATTCTTTCACATTTTACTTTTATCTTATATTTTTATATCTTCAATATTTTTATATAATTATTTTTCCTACTTTGAGACGTGATTTAATTTGAAACATTTAACTTATGAATGATTTTATAGATAAGATTAGCTAATGAAAACAAATTTAAAGTAAATGCACTATTTATTTTCATTTAATTGTAACTATTTTCTAATAAGTACATGTATTTGAAATTCAAGATTTAAAATCGAGTTTTGGTTATTAAATTATATTTACAACTAATCTTAATTTTATGTATATTACAATTAAAGTAAATGGTAGATTAGTTAATGTAACACGTATTATCATAAAATAACATTTATACTGTACATACTATTAATAGGTAAACTTAAATCATATTATGCATATTGTTTTAGTGAATATTATAGATTATCGATAATCAGTTAATCACATCACAGAAAATTTCACTTATATCTATAAATGACAAATAACCCCTATGAGGTTTGTATTTACCCCACAGATGGTTCTTTTGTAACTCCATCAACTTCATCGAACTAATATAAATGTCACGCAGAAATACCAGGGGCAATTCGACAATTATATCTTTGAGAGTGAATCATAGAATGCACTAGTCACAACTACTTGTTCATAAATGAATATCCACCTGTTGTTTTCTGTGTCATTAAAGCTTAATCACTCATAAAACCAACCACGGGTGAAAAATTTGTACCTTCCCAATGTCACCAACAACAGATATCTCCTGTTCATTTTTACTGCCTTCAGCGAACATACAAAGATCAAGCATACCCCGAGCACCATTTTCGAATTCAACAATGACGTATGCATTGTCCATTATATCAGGCGCCTGCATAAAACGAAAATCATATGCTACAATCATGTTGATCGCTAGAAATCTACATATATCTTCCAATATAGGATCAAATAAAGATTTTTACCTTTCCATCATATATTTCATCTTTATGATTTATGACAATGCCGCCAGATGCCATGACACGGACTGGATTGGCACCGGCAAATAACCTCATTAGATCAAAAAAATGGCAGCACTTTTCGACAAGTGTACCACCGGTGTTACAGTTGAACCGATTCCAATTGTTAACCTATATTACAATTTACAACAAAGGTTTAAGAATATATTATGCTTATATATTCAGGATAAAAAAGGGAGACAGCATTACAGTGGCTGAAAAAGTTACCTTGACTAGAAACGGGAATCGATGTTCCCGAATGGAAACCATCTTGACTCGTCCCAAAACTCCATCTTTCACCAAATCAATCAATTTAGCGATAGGCGGCATGTATCTGTATTCTAACCCAACTTGTACTAGAACATCTGGTCTCTTTGCAGCAGCATCTATGACCTGATGATGATGATTAATAATAATAATAATAGAAACTATTCTATTCAAAGATAAATAGATCCTTAAATGCCAATAACAGCTCTTGCTAATGCTGGAGAATTACAACTTTCAGGTGCACGAGGAAGAAATTGGTCGCAAAAAAACTTGAATTTCGAAACAAATACTCGTGTTTGGGTTTCTTTCAAACCTTTTTGCAGTCTGTAACAGTTGTGCAGAGTGGCTTCTCCACCAAGACATGGTGCGGTTTTGGGTGACTGATAATATCCATCAATATGTCAAAGTGAGTCATGTTTGGAGTTGAAATAACCAACACATCACATATCCCACTATCCAGCAGCGCCTTGTGACTGGAGAAGACCTTCAAATGTACAGTCCCAGATACATACATAGCAGCAGTTTACATTCTATAAACAGACTAGAACAGCAGTAGTAACTAGTAAGTAAATTAACTCAACATCAAATTTTCATTAATTATTAGAACAGAAATTTAGGTACCTGAACTGGCCAATCGAACGAGTTTGCAAGATTCAAGACTTGGTGTTGGGAAGGCAAGTGGGGATCGGCTATGGCGACCACGACAACACCTTCATTCTTGAGGTGGTAAAGGTTAATGAGATGCTCTCTTCCCATCATCCCAGCTCCAATTATCCCATATTTTGTCATTCTATAACTGTTAATTTAACAAACTCGGGAAAATGTTGAAATTTGGAAATAGGAGAAAAAGGCGATTAATGACCGGCGCCTCTTGACTGCGGCTCGTTACTTCTGGTCGTGGACTACACCGACTAAATATCACGCACCCGTGGTTCGCGGGGCGATTCGGTCCTGGCGACGGTTTCCGGGCTGTGTTCGGGTTTCGGGCTGAGGAATGAAACCCGATCCAGCGGCCGGTTGACTGACGGCTTCTGGGGGTGAAAAGGAGTGGTGGCAGGTGCTGAAGCTCTGGCCTGGCCGAGATGGACGCCAATTGGTTTGGTTTCAACCAGTATTTACGTACCTGTTATTATACAGGACGAGCCAACTGTACGCGGTTAAACCGGTTCAATTGGTTTTACCGTCTATTTTACCGGTAGTAATAAATATTAAATTAATTTATTATTACAAAATAATGTACAAAACTAAATTTAGTTAATATTAAAATTAATTAACATCTAATAACAATACAAACATATTAAAATGAAGTGTAAAACTTTCAATTTATATAAAACAAAAAATTAATGAAAATATATTAAAAATATTTTTTTTAAAAAAAAATTGGCATAAACCGGTATTTTGACCTGTATTTTGGCCGATAAAACCGTATGTTCTGGTGTGAAACCGGTATAAACCAGTATTTTGGCAAAAATGGTATGTAGAAGGTAAACGTACCGGTCAGTCCACCGGTATCCGGTATTACCTGTAATACCGGCCGCTACGGTACGGTAGTTAAAACATTGGTTTCAACTGTGTTATCTGCTGCTTGGTCTAATTTGAGCGAGTAGAGGTTTTTTTTTTTTCAAACGACATGATCACTCGTATATTGCCAAAATAAATGGAATGTACACGGGTACAACCCAAATTCGCAATCACTGAGAGGACATGTACGCTAATTTGAGCGAGTGGAGAATTTTTTTTTTTT